GCCCGCATCCCCATCGCGGGCGCTGGACCAGACTGCTAATGTCAGACTTCGGGTCAAAGCGACCTCAGGCCGCGGGCGCCTGGGCCTTCGCCGCAGAGGGCTGGCTGGGAGTGGCCGCGGCTGCCCAAGCCGGGGAAGCCGGACCTTTGGGAAGGAGGCCCGTGTCTCCGAGTGCTGTGCTGGGGACTGACGCTGGCCCGGGCCAGCCCGGAGCCTCCCAGAGCCCAGGGTCTTAGGCTGGCAACGAACTGCCCTGTGCTGTAGCGCCGATCCCCTTGGGCCTTGCCTGGGGACAAGAGGCCTGGTTGTGAGCTGCTGCCCGACTGGCCCTTCCGCGCCAGGTCAGCTGTGCCGTGGCAGAGCTTGAGCCGGCAGCTCAGGCTTTTTCTGCCCCTTTTGATTCTCTTCTTTGCTGACCCGCCGTGCCCTCTTCACTGCACCCCTTCTTCTGGATTTCCCTGTCTCTTTTACAACCGTCAGTCGGCATCTCTCAGTAGGGTGTGTCTGTTCTTCCTCTCCCACCTTTCCCCAAGGATCCCTTCTTCCCTCTGGGCCCTCTCCTCATCTTGACTCTCGCATCTTACCCAGGCCCTCCCGGACTGCAGCGGGGTTAGCACCCACCCCGTAGTGAGATGACTATCCGGGCAGGGAGGCCTGCTGTGTTCTAGCTAGCCCAGCAAGCTGACTCCCTCCACATCCCATGACCGTCCAGCCAGTGCTCCGCCTGTCTAGGGGGCAGCAGGACCAGTTTGTTCGTTTTAAGTCCAGTTTCCGCTGCCTTTTGCCTCCAGCTGCAGTGTTAATTCGTTTGAAGCGGGCAAAAAAATATCATTTAGGACTAGTGAAAATGAAAACGTTTTCGTGGGGGAAACGTAGAAACAGAGAAAACAGGAGGAACAAATTTCTCAATTCTTGGGGTGCTTTGTAATCTCTGGGAAACACCCACCTTCACCCCTGCTGACAACCGGCTGCCTGCCCCCTGGGGAGGCTGTTGTGCCCTGCACAGAAGAGCACATGCTCTTTCTCTTTATTTATTATTTTTTTTTCTGAACGCAGCAAAGCCGATTTAGTTGGGGCAAACGCTCGTCTTCCTAACGCTGTCTTTCTTTCTTTCTTTTTCTTGGTTTCCCTTTTCCGTGAAACATACTCTGTGCGTTTGGGAGCTGCGACCTTGTTCATTGAGAATTCTTTAATCTCAGAGGCGGCTGGTGCCTGGGGAATGCCAGGCATAGTCCGGGTTGGGGAGGTCCCCCTCCCAGACTCTGGGGACCCTGGCGTCGAAAAGGGTCAGCCTAGGTGCCTGGAACAAATCTTTCACTTATCGGCCAGCGCGAAGTTTTTGTGCTGGGTGGCACTGGCCGGGGCGCATGGTGCGAGGATCTCCAGGAGTAGGAGCACGGCCCGAGCTCACCCGGCTCCCCACTCTCTCCCCGCAGCCGTGTTGAAAGCCGAGCAGGCGGCAGTGTTTAAGTTCCCGCTGGCGCCGCTGGGCTGCTCCGGGCTGGGCTCGGCGCTGCTTGCCGC